ATTCCTGCTTACACTTGAGCAGTAACCCTTCCTTTCATCCCTAAAAGTGTGGCAAGATCTACTGGGAGACTGTTATTTTGGAAATATATGCATGCAGCACTGCAGAAACAAAGAGAGGATGATGGGGAAGAGTGGCAAAAAGGAAAATGTCACTGAGACTTGAGTGGTGATGTGGAGAAATACCAGCCTGAACATCACATCTGGGAGATACTTTAAGTTAAACACTATTCAAAGGTCAAAAAGCTCTCAGATGAGCAATGTTAAGTCACATCTGCATATTCAGATTATCCTAGTTTAAAACAAGAATGTTTACTTTTTGTGGTTAACACAATAATAATACCACTGTCACGGGTCACTATGGCTTGCACAGCTGAGTGGCAAACTTCTCACACAAGAAAGCCATGGTAGATTGGTTGTCCTTGGACTCAATGCAAGCCCCGAACAGCTTTCTGCTCTGACACAAAGACATTCATGAAGACTCATTTTGGATGATATCCTAAACCACAGTTTATTCCTCTGTGAAGCTCACTGGACATAACCCTTCAGCAGTCCTATGCATGTGCCCCAGCATGGTGGTTCCAGCTTGGCCATACACTAACACCTTAGGGTCTTCACCCAAAGGCAGTAAGGGAAGAATATTCCGTGGTGCCAGGATGGGTGCCCACCACACCCTAAGGCTCTGCTTTTCCTTGTCAACACCTACATGCATGTGCAAGAGAGAGAAAGAGAGAGGGTCCTCCTTCATCCAGCAAAACATCAGCGACCTCCAGTTGTGAGCTTCATCCTTTCCGCATCTGGTCTCCAAGCCAGTGGTGGTATTTTTAGATGGGTGATGAATAGGTGTGTTGGAATGTTATGCAGTTAAATATAACATAAATGCTTGTGGATTGTAAGCATGCATATAAAGAAGTTGGGAAAAATATTCAAAGGTCAAATTGCAGTATCATGGGATCTCTCAAAAGCCACAGCTCTCCCTAATATTCCTCTTTTTCTATTCAGTCTACTCATTTTTCCGCGACTGAAGGGGGAGAAAATAGAGGAACTAGATATCTAGAAGAATCCCCAAAAATTTCTGAAAAAAAACCCCTAAACGGATCTACACCCCTCTAGGTCTGGTTTGGAAATACAGGAAACTTTAGGAGAAGTTTATAAAAAAAAGGCTTGTGAAATATTTTCTCTAAGATTAAACAGTGAAATACTGTCGGGCTACTGTTTAAAATCCTATTATTTTTGCTGTGCTTCAGTTCTTCCCAATGTTTTCTATGTAATAAGCATTTCAAATGAAATTACATTATTTTAAAACACACTGTAGTAGGCAATTACAATTCCTGAATACTAAATGCCAATATAACATAGACTAGATTTATTGTTGTTCCTTAACTTTGTGCCATATTCATTATATTTTAATGAATAAGGTTTCACATTAATTTTTCAAGCCTTTTCCTTGGAATCACACATTAATGCTATAATTGCATTGCAGAATTAGGCCCTTATGTACATTCTCCTTCTAAGCCCTGAAGATGAAACCTTACTTTGATTTCCTCCCCCCCCTAAGTCAGCAACATCACATCTTCCTCCTGTTTTTCGGGAGAGTGCCTGAGGGCCAGCGGTGCCTCCTCATCTCGCTGCTGTCAGGCCAGGCAGGGCCATCCCAGTGACCACCAGCACCTGCTGCCTGCTATACCCAGGAAATGAGACCAGAAGCACCACATAAGCAGGGTCTGGGGAAGACCAAAGCATCACCCACAAGTCCAGTTGCACCTGGGTATGAGGACCCCTCAACGGCAGCCTGGGTCAACCTCATCTGCTGCAGCATTCCCAGGGTGTTGCCCACACTCTATGTGCCCACCATCCCACCTTTCTACAATTTTTTCTCACCTCTGTCACCTCACAGGGAGACACAGCTCACCTAAATGCTCTTTTCAAACACATCAAACATGAAAAAAACTAAGGAACCAGATAAATGAGGGCCACCAACATGAAGGGCATGGTGAAGGTATCACAAAACAGAAGGCCTTTCACCTTGAGAGCCTGTTTTCCACCTGGGACAGACTGTGAAGGAACTGAACAAATTTGAGGTGAAATACAGGTGCTGGGCAGTAAACAGGAGCCACTTGTCAGCTGTCATCTTCCAGGGGACAATTTGATTTCCTGGTCCCAAAGCCTCCAGCAGCTTGCCAGCCAACCACACCACTGAATGCAAGGATGCTGCACAGAGCTGAGAGCAGGGGAAAGCCTTTCCTCTGCATGTGGGTGTTTTTTAATTTTAGTTATTCTGCGTACTTGCAATACTTTAATTATTAATGTTAATAGACGATAGAAAATCTTATTCAACTAGAATTGCTTTTTTTTGTTGGTGGTCTTTTTATTCCCCTGAGATAAAATCAAATTGCATCAGTCCAAGAGCCCTCTTTGCCCTTGTTTCTTGTGCTCTTTTGAAGAGAACAGAAATGAGGTCCTGACTCCTGGGATATTGCAAGCTGGTGGGACACTGTGGACACATGCCCAGGGACTGCCCGCTCTGTAGGTCCACCAGGCCAAGTTTCTGTGCCTGCCACTCACTCCTGCTTGCCATCTCCTCCCCTTCCTGTTCACAAGTGCTATCCTCTTAGTTCTCTCCTATCCAGAGTTTTCCTCATCACCTTTACTCATCCCTTCAAGAGCAGAGGCTTCTACATACCTAACCCTTCCCTCATATCTCACTTTCTCCATGCCAGAGCTTGCCATATCCTCTTTTCTCTCCACAATGCCACTTCTAAAGCTCTCCAATCCCCCTCACACCACTGCGGCTGTGATAAATCCTCCTTCACCTACTCCCTCTCCACCAACATGCTCTGATCCCCAGGTGTTCCCCCTTGGCTTCTCCCTGCTGCTCAGCATTTCTGCCCCCACACTGTGGTTCCCCGGCCTCCCTCCATGGCACAGGCTTTGCTGTAACTTCCAGGTCACAGCCAAGAGACAGATACATAAGCACCGAACAAAGGGCAAACCCCCTTGTAATCCCCACCCCTTCATTTTCTATACATTTCATTAATTTTGCCAAAATTCACAGGTTCTTGCTCACTGACGCGCTGTGCGTCTCCCTCCCTCACCTTTTGCAACTCAGTTTTGAACTCTGCACCAGCACTGCTCCACAGCAAAGATTTCTACCCAGCTGAGCACCAAGCCTTGCAAGCTTTGCCAATCACCACTCCTCCAACTGCTTCTTCCCCAGCATGTGTTTGCTTGCAGTGGCTGGGGAGGCACCCCCAGAGGGCTTTCTGGAGGGCTACCAGCATGCTGGAGGTGCCAGCCTCTCTGACAGCTGCATCTAACACCCACTGGTGTGCTCTTTTCCTCCAGCTGGCTACCCTGAAGAGTGTTTTGCCTGTGTTTGCAGTCAACAGACACAAAGAAAACAAATGCTATCAACCAAGCATTTGAAACTAAGATTCAAATCTTAGAGAAGATACATTTCTAAAAATGAAATTTTAAAAGAGGGAGAGGAGTAATTAAGGAGTCTGGCTCTTTGGGTTGTGTAGAGAGGTTAAAAAAAAAATCCAGAATGAAAATTAAAAACCCCTGAGGCATCCACAGATTACTTATTTATTAAAACACAGCCATATGTACTTTCAGAAAAAGAGCTGTATTTAGCGTATTTATGCATAATTTGGTTGGCCCACAGACAGTACTGTTGGGTGTTTCATGCACGTGAAATAAGTAAGCATACATTACTTAATTTGAATAACACCAAACACCTGATTCCAGAGACGGAGCAACACTCCACACTGAGGCATGTAAGTGCTCTTGGCCTGTTAATGTTTCACCAGAGCAGAGAATAATTAGCAAACTGAAAACAGAAATTCATACTGTGGCTTGTAGACAACATCCATGGTATATCCACAGGGCTCATGAACAGCACGTAAGCTTAGCCCTGATGATATGATGGAGCTACAGAAGAGACTCCCGTTGCTACAGAGAAGGCCAAGAAAATGAACATGATACACCTATACATGTTCTTTACAAAGTTGGTACCAGAATTCAGTAATAAGAACACTGGTAAGCTGGGCTGTCTGTATCTTCACAGAATTGAGTCCTTTCAATTTGTCCCCAAAACTTCTTGACAGACCTCAAGAGAAAAATACTTGACAGCATTTCTGACAGACCTCAGACAAAAAATAAAATGCCTTCAGCCTTTTTTGTCTGAATGTTTCCCCACCCATAGCTTCATATCACTGACTAAAGCCTAAAGATTTGAAAGCTTCTCTCTTAATAAAAAAAAAAACTAATTAAATTAAAATAAATTTAAAATAAAAATTATTTAAAATTAGTTTAAAAATTAAGTTCTGGTAACTTTATCTTCATGTCACATGTGGATTCACATTGCCTTTCCCTCCCACAATTTCTTTGTGCTGAAACCAAAGCTTTCCAATTTTGACAGATATCATAGATTCTTACATTTCTCAACGAGTGTTTTGTTTAACAGCAAATAATTTTCTTCCTGGAACTGGAGAAGGAAAAGCAGGGTGAAAGACCCTCTATCAAACAAGCTCTGTTTTAAATTTGTGACAGTATTTCCTTCGTTTATTGCAACCTTCAGCTTTTTGCCTGCCCATCTCAAAAAAGGCATCTCAGAGAAATGAGAGAGGGTGCCAGTATGACAGGCATTTGCAAGTCTGGCCAAGTTGTGAGGTGCTCTCAAACACAACTTAAGGAAGACAAAACAAAGCATCTTTCATCTTTAAAAATGGAAGCAGCGTATGCAAACAAGACACAGGCATTACTAGAAGCATGAGACTTCCTTCCTCCTATGGCTTCAGCTTTCAAACTGGCCACAGAGGATAAGCATGGCTAGGTCTGACCAACATCTCCTTCAACTTTACGTGTGCCCCTTCATCTCTCCTCTGCACAACCAGGCAAGGCAAGCAGCTTTGCTTTACTCCAAGGAAAGAAACCCAAACATTATCCAACAACCTTGTACTTACTGAGTTCTGCAATGCTCCCCACACGCGTAGCAAGTAAAGACTGCTCGATGGTCCTTAGCTCTGACTGGCTGAACATCTGAACTTCCCCAGGCTTGTTTGACCTTTGCTGATCTTTGTGAAGGTTCAAGCTGTCCGGCAGGCAAAGAACACCTACAGTAGGTAAAAAGAAAGGAGAATTCCAATGTAACATCAGGCAGTATGGATAACTTTGCTGTCTCCATCACATCATTTTGGGGACATTCCAAGAAAAAGCCAGTGTGTGCAGACCTCAGGCAATCAACATCTACAACTCAATGGTGCAGATGACTCATGCGATCAGAAGTGGCCCCTGTTAGTTCTTCTGGATGTGCTCAAGTCACTTATAATGTCACCTAGAGATAATTCTTACAGAAAATCCTAGAAAATTGCCCAAGGAGGAGCTCAACGGGGTTCCAAATAAGCTTCCTAGAAACTACACTAAACTCATACAACAAAATTATTAGAAAACTGTACTTCAGTGACAAAATTCTTAAAGATTGGCTTCAAAATGATATATCAGACACACAATACCTCTACAGGATTCTTCTGTAAGGGGAATTCTACTCACAATTGCCAAAATAACAGTCAAGATGCTCGCAGTGTAATTGATGGGCTTATTGAATTTCTTTTGTAAATACAACTCCTGGCAGTTGAACGGCTTGGACTTCAAAAGCCCATTATGCAGAAGCCCTTAGAGCTGTGAATTTTTGTGGGGCAGGCCATAAGTAAAGTTACTGACATAAAACAATTCACATACACATTCATTCAGCCAGAAAAGTCACTTTCTGCCATGACATCTAAGCCCTCAGGCACAGATAGAAGGCACACACTCATTAATCAAAATCACTGTCACGCTAAAAAAAAGTACAGAGCAAACACTGCTCTACCATCCTTGGGTAACAGATGCATTGAAGTCCAGCTTGGACAGCAAGCTCTCCTCCCTTCCTGTGGTCTATACACAGCCAGCTATGGCCATGCTCTCCACACCATCACCTTCCCACTCCCACTGGAAACACACAAGTGGAGATGCATTGGAGGTGGAGGAATTGTACCTGATGCATGATGATTAAACACCAGCTTATCTCTGCATGATATGCAACAATTACCCTTGAGAAGAAGCCAAAGCAGGAAATGTATTTTTATCCATTAGCTTTTACTATTCCTTCCTTTTAATCCTAGGGGAGAAGTTCTGCCCTAATGGGCCAACTAGACTTTGCAAAATACATTAAGGAAGATGTACATAGTTAATGTTTTTCTTCCAGGGGAAAATTTATCTACCTTCCCAGCCCAGTAAGGATATGGTGTCTAACTCTAGTGATCAGTCATTCTACCAGTAGGTACTACATTGGATGTCCTCGGCACAATGGCTACCTTAATCCCTGTCTACTTCAGTTATGAAACAGCCCCACAAACATTAATGCACTGGAGCATTGCAAGGCCAGGTAACATGCGTGAGAGGGGATGCTTCTCAGCCACTCCTCCAAACTGCTCTGGATTCCCTCCTCACATCCATCTTCTTCCTGAAAACACTTCAGTCTAAAAATTGTATTTATAGCATGGACCTAAAAACACCCATCCTGGGAGGAGAGAGACAGTGAAGGTTCAGTGAGCAAAAACAAAAAGCACGGATATACACTGGGAAAACCCAGACCAAAGGTCTTGTTCACCACACTGCAAGACAGCAACCTAAAGCAGGATAACCCTCCACATGCAACAGGTATGCCAGAACAGAATTTCTAACAGCCTGTTTGAGTGCTGGAGATAGAGGAGCAGGAGCAGCCTTAACCTCAGCCCTGGCTCTGGTCCCAGAGCTGTAGTAACCACAGTAAAACCCTCCCTTTGCAGGTGTAAAAGATCAGGAGAGAGGAACATGACTCGTAAGGGAGCACCCTGGAGAGAAAAAGCAGGACATCTGACACAGCAACAGGGAGGAAAGAATTAAAGGTAATGGATAAAAAGCATCAAGAGCTTATCAAACAAGCTCTCCAAATACTCCCACCATCACTCAAGAGGCTGACTCGCATAAACACTTGGCACACTGATCAACATTTATATTCTGGGGATGTACAGAGCTCAAGAAGTACAACACCTGGATTTAAATTGCAGACTTGCCTGCATATTTAAATAAGTATTCTCTCTTGGAAATCTTTCTCATTTATTTAGATTATTCTTTATAACTTTAATGGGTAGAAATTAAGACAAAATTGGAAGAGTCTTCCCTGCAGAAAACAGATGTGTAAGTGATCTAATACTCAAAGAGATTTCTAAAAACAAGAAATAGAGCACAAACAGCTTTATGGCATCTGAAAAAAAAATTAATATCCAGCAGGGAAGTATTTTTGCGTGAAAACACACCTTACGTGTGGAAAAAATACTGTTTTAAGATACCTTCACAAATAAGATTCAAATAGTCTAAAATCATGTAGAGGAGATACTTCTCTGGGTGATTAAAGCAGCGGGATATAGACATTTTATCCTCTACTTTGTCTATGACTCTGTTCCCACAGCCAGGCCTTTTCCTTACAAATAGCCCTGATGATTAATTACCCTGTTCTTTAGCGAGGGGAGTGTATTCTTAGGCTCTTGGATGAAAAGTGCAAATGAAATGCAAAATGTGCTATTGTTCAAAAACTTTGCAAATTATAGGATACATCATGCCAAAGGGTTTTACTTGGGTTGGAGATTAATGAAGACATGCAATGGCCAAACATCTGATACTTATATGCCAGCTTCAAAGCAATAATTGATCACAGTGGGTGACCAGTGGGGTGATGGAAGATTTGTTTATAACTCATAATTTTGCTGGATCAGATCTGGTTTTCACTACTATGGAAAAAGGGAATTCTATGGCTTGGGCATGCAACTCTGCCAATTTTCTAACTTCAACTGTTTTCCCCAAAAACAATTATGAAAGTGAATAAAATGCTATTTAGAAGAAAAACCTGATATCTTTTTCTATCAGCATTTGATGTGAAGTGCAAACTTGCTGACTTATAAATAGAAACATTTAAATAGCCACCACCAGCTTTCGCTGGTTTGGCTAGAGTTCAACTTCCTTATTTTAATTCTCTGCCAATTGGTATTATCTGCTTGCTTTTCCAGCTGTGGCTTCAGCAGCACCGTGTTGTACTTGACAAACAGGTGAAGGTCTTCAGTTTCCAATGGCCTGAAGAACAGGACTTTCTCCTCCCCCCCACTTTTCTGGCTGTGGCTGCTGATGCTGCCCATCATTTGACACTGAAGATTTCTGTGCGGCACCTTCAGAAATGAACAGCAGTATCCGCCTTTTCTCTCAACCGGTGTTGCTCAGTGTCCTTCCTTTCTGCATGGTGACTCAAACCTGTGAGATTCTTTGCTATTATTTTATCTCTTTTCTTCCCTCCGATTCGTTAGAGTGAAAAATGAGCAGTCAGTTGCTGCTCAACAAACCCAGGGCCAGACTGACTTGGCACACCCCTGGCTGCTCTCTGCCACCAAGCCATGTCCAGCAGCTGTGTGCTGCATTTAAGACTGCTGTGAACCACTGGAGCAAGGTGAGACAACCAAAGGACTCAACTGTACTTGCATTTTGTCACCTCTTCCCCTTGGTTGTACCCTCCTGGGGGCAGAGGTCTGTCTAAGACTTGTCTCCAAAGAGACACACCCAGAATGGGTTTGCTTTGTAAGTTTGTTATAAGCCCTTGGCCTCAGGCTGCCCGGCAGTCTGTAGGTAATAGGCTGAAGAGAAATACAAAGGAAACATTTTTAAATGGGAAGGATGACCAAAAGAAAAAAAAAAGCACAAAAAAAAAAAAAAAGCACAAAAAAAAAAAAAAAGCACAAAAAAAAAAAAAAAGCACAAAAAAAAAAAAAAAGCACAAAAAAAAAAAAAAAGCACAAAAAAAAAAAAAAAGCACAGTGACAAGCTCCCAATGCTCCTCCTCCCAAATCTCCAGAGAAAAAACAAAGTTATAGGAAAAATCCTATGCACAATTATTACACTCCACATTTTTCCTGCCCTCTGGGCTAGGCTGAAAAACAGGCCAGAGCTCAGTCCACAGGGACTTAAAAATCTCAGACCAAAGAATTATTGCACAAAATTACAAAGTCAAATCTGAAGATGCCTAAACTTATAGAAGAAGCAGTTTTTTTAAGTCTTCATGTAAACTCATCCAAAGCCAGGGGGGTACCTGGTAACTCTACTCCAGTCTCCCCATGCACATTGCCACCTCTTGGGCTTGGTTGATGAACCACCCTCTATGCAAGCCTGTTTTGGTATAAATACACATACATTTGTTCATACTAATTGCAGAGCTTGCCACAGAGCTGCCCATGCTGTCCTTGCAGTAAGACAGAAGAAGTGTGCATACATCACACAAAGACCCCAAACTCAGTGCCTGGCAGCAGCCTCAGCAAAGTTTGTCCCTCCCCAGAAAAACAGCCCAAAGATGGCCAAAAGCAAGTCCAACACTGAATACAGCAGCACTTGTGTTACCTTTTCAGCTTTCAAGGCAGGAGGAATATGGGGGTTGTAGCCCAAATCTCACCTAAATATAGAGGAATCACCAAAAAACCTAAGCCCCCTCCACTGTTCCTCTATTTAGATAGATACCTGCACTTACTTATATACCAGCTGTTGCAAAACATTTGATACCTGAAGAGCTGGCACCTACAGTGCCCATACTTGAGGATCAGCAGTTGGACTTCACTTTCTCTCAGACACAGGAGGCTACTGGCTTTCCATGGACCGTGTATTGCTTTTGGCACTACACAGCTATTTGCATCATATAAAGGCAGATCAAAGGGCAAAACGGTGAGAAATAAGACAACCAGTCTTTTGTATAGCAGCATGAATGACTACATAATGTGGAAAGCAATAAAACAGCAAGTCTGTTTATTTGGAATGGGCTGTAAAGTTCTGGGCAGAGCTGTGTTGCATCCTCAAACATCCCAGTTTTGTCACAAATCAGCTTTTCCATTTAAAGCAGCATTTTCAACAGTAAGTGTACCTCAGAAAAAAGAGAGTGAGATACAGAACCTAAACCTGCAGTTGCAGTTGCTGCAGTCCTCAAGTCACTGCTCCAACCTTCTCCTCACCTATACATACTTCAGTACCACAGGCATCCTATATTTGAGGCTTTTTTATATATATTTCAAGAAGTCTGAAGATATTTAATCCAGTTATTGCTTGATTATAGAGCAAATTCCCCAAGACCGAAGGATACCTCAAGTGTCACTGAACTGATTTTTTTACATGTTTATGTATACAAACTGACAGATCAAAGCAAGCAAGGAAAAATTTGCACTGCCTACATTCACAGGTCTGCAATGCATAGTGTCACCTATGTTTCAAATTGTTTGCCTCCTCCTTCTCCTTTAGTATTCAAATCCCAAAACACATTTGCAACAGTACTAAATTGATAAAAAATGCCCACTAGACAATGTGATTAAAATTATCTGTGCTGAAGCATCTAGCAGGAACACAACACAAATGTGTTTGTTTTGACTAAAAATGTAAGTGCTGTAAATACTATAAAACCTTTTTTTCACATTTCAGTATTACCATTTGTTCCTTTGGGAAGAGTGCCAGATTTCTCTTTATTTATTAACTTAGAGTCTGGATAGAAGAAGGAAGGTTTTGCTGCTCTCTTGTTATTTTTCTTTAATTAAGGGCTCCTTCAAGAGAAAATAATTCCAAGTATCTTTGACCTCCCTCTTGACCTATCTATTATATCTTAAGCAAACATACATATCTGGAAAACAGCTTATACTCCCACTTGCAAGGATCCTACTAAGAGTATATAGAAATTAAGCGTGCAGGAGAGGTATCAGGCAAATTGCTGTACAAAATAAGCCTGAAAATTGAAGTTAACCCTGAAGGGTCCTCAAAATGTGGTGTTGCACATTATGTTGCTCAAGTGAATGCTGACCTTACCTAGGAGGACTATGTTTAGGAGTAGGAAATCCACTCTATTGTCATAAGTTTTCTATTTTTCACACAGGAACATGGGATTAGAAGGTCTTTGAGTCCACTCTCCTGCTCTCATAAAGAACCATGTGAAATTCAAAAGCTTGCAAAACATCCAATAAAAATTCTTTTCCTTCTACAAGCTCATGTACCAAAATCCTTCACAGCACAGCACATTCTTGAGATCAAAAGTATAAAGGCCTATGGCAAAGAAATAAAAGGGTCAAAAAAGTATTGCCAGCTTCGCTTTGCAATAGCAAAGCACATCATGAGGTGCAAACCCCACATGGTTGGTATTACAACATGGAGAAGAACTCTCCTGGCCCCACATTTGGCAACTGTCCAGGAACACACCAGATTTTGAAGCATGGTGTTGGAACACCAGAAACAGGAGCTCAGCATCCCAACACCAACACACAGGAGCTGGTGAATACAAAGTGGCACAGATCACCACACAGAACCTTAAACTTTCAAAGAAACCCTACGGTTCCTATTGTTTGAAGCAACCTGCACTGTGACTCCTTTGCTTGGGCTGTCAACCTGACTGGCAAGGCAGACAGAGAACATCTTGTCTTCTCCTTACAGAAATTAGACTACAGGAAAAACCTTTAATGCTACTTGTATCAGCCAGTGCTTTCAGTTAACAGAAGACCTGGAAAGCATTCAAAGCAAGAAGTGCTAAGTGTCTCCTTTCCACACATTCCAGCCCAGTTAAATAACAGGGAGAGGCTTTGCATGGAGAAAATGCAAAGCACTTGGGAGAGCCAGGTGGTGAGATAAAGTTTCCAGAGCCTGAGTCTTAAGAGCAGCACAAATGAGGAAGGGTGGAAAAGTCTCAGGAATCAGATGCGAGAGACTAGAAGGACACTACTTTGTGTGCTTTTAACACCTACTACCCAAAGATATTAGTAAGCATTTCTACTTAGCCTCAAGACACTGACATTAAGCAGGTAAGGTAAGATTCATGTCTGATTTACAGATGAAGTAAAAGTAAAGCACTAGAGGACTTAGTAACTAATTCAAAATGAATTAAGAAATATCAGAGAACACCAGGAAAAGAGCATAAAGCTTCTAGTTATGCAGTTTAACCACAAGAGATCACCCTTCTCTCCTGGAAAAATCAGTGGAAGAGCAAATGAATAACAAATGAAAGAAACAGGAGCCTAACTGCTAAAAAATACCAACAGCAGCAACCACTGATAAATGACAAAGACCAGTTGTACAAACTCGGCAGGTTTTGGGTTCTCACCAGCAGGAACTTCACTTCCAGAAGCACCGTGAAGAATGATCCACAAGCTACACAAGGGTAACTTTTTAATTTCACCTGGCCAAGTCTGGAGGTTTTGTCTGACCAGTTTCGTCTTTGGCTCCTTGCAAATGGAAATTTTAGTAACTGCGTATCTGCAGAGCAGGTTTTTTTCCAAAGACGTGATCATTTTCAGGGCAGTATCCCAGCTGAGTTGGATTTGATTTCATCAAAAGCCAGAACAGATGATCAGCTAATGCAGAGAGTACCTCTGTGA